GGCATAGTTGGCTGATTAGGGTGAAAAACAAGCTGGGAGTGTCTATCCCGGTCTTGCCTTTTCGATAATGCTTCCGGATCCGCCAACTGCTATGCCGTCACCGAGGTGGGTTGTAAGCTGCGCCTCCAAGGCGAAGTGGAATCATCCACACTCCGTTCCGCGGCAGACCGGCAAACGTCACTCCTACGGAGTGCTATCGTTCTAGTGTACGTCCGGAATTCAATTTAGAACTAAAGGTTCTTCGCGGGCCTCCACCCCCTTTATAGTCTTAAGGATTACGGTTCACTTATTCCACTTGCCAGCTTGTTCTTGTAGTGGTGTAATTATCTACATTCAACGACCTCCGCCGAACGACCATTCGTCATTAGACGTCGCGCCCTCCTACCCCTAGTCAGCGTGATGTTAAAGTGTGCCGGGCGAGAAGTTTTGACGGGCCAAAAGTTAGACTGCGGCCCCTTCAAAGCAAAACCCAAAACTCAGTAAATTGTCCGCAGGTAACCCCGATTGTCTAATGTTATAAGTAGGTTTAGAGATGAGAATTCGGTGGGGTCTATCTCACACAGAAGCAGAGAGATCACTAACTTACTGAGGATAACTCATGAGGTCCTAGATCATGACTGACATAATAGCTAACACCTTTTGCAGTCCGTCGCTGCTGTTAGCCGCTGAAAAGCACAAGAGCAAACCATAGGACCCATCCACGACCAACCGGCTTCCCAATATTAACACAGTCACTAACTTGCAACTGCAGGAACAGTCGTCCTTCGGCTGCAGCGTATCCACTCAGCACACAATAAGGCTCCCTATTGGTTGCTGTGCACTTCTGGCTCTAAGCGAGAGTTGCTCCCCTGGAAATTTAAGTAGATTCACTGCTATGACGGTTGCGCTTTGCTGAAAGGTCTGCACGCGCCCGATCCGACGTCGAAATAACTTGTCTGACAGTAATTTTGCGAAGTCTACAACACTCAAGCTGGACCGTCGGTCAGGAGCCACCTCTCGCGAACGGCTTAAGATACATTGCAGTACAGCTGCTGGCAAACGCTCGGGGCAATGAAACCCTCGTCCGGACTAATACTGCCCTCAGGGTTGTGGCAAGCCCTCAGAGGCACAACCGGAGCCGATAAGGTACTTCAATCGCCAGCAAGCACAGACAACCGTCCAGCCAGGTGGGCAGTTCACATGAAGGGCGAAATTTAAGTCCACAGTTACCGTTGCGTGACAACGACCTTCCCAATTAGTTTCCTCACCTGGTGATGGCCGGCTCCCGTCATGAACACCGTACCTCCGGCAACTCAGGAAGAATGAGAGAAATGGTCTTTTGCCGTACTCACCATTAACTAGGCGTTGCTGCACCAAGTCCGACACCGTCGGCTAGATAGAGGCAACGAAGGAGGCAACCAGGACACGACGGCAGTCCTTGGACTTACGATACTCCGCCTGGCCACTGAAAAGTAGGTTCAGTTCGCCAGACCAACCGTCGCAAGTCAGTACAAGTGCAGTCGAGTCCCATGCCTGTTTGGCAACCGGCACGCGCCGAGGTTGCTTGTCCGAGCCAGATGCGGGGCGGCCGCGCGAAGACTGCACTTGGACTTAATAGCGTCCGAATACAACCATCGACGATCTTGAGCAGCCATTCTTAAGGACGTCACTGACCGCCACTTTTGGAATGCCTCCCGATCCGGCCATCAACCGATAACTAGGGCCACGACCTTGGCAAAGCACCGACAACAGACACACGGGTGACAGCGCATGATCGAGTCCATGTCAGCATTTCGCAACTTGGTAGTCAACGAACCCATTGGAAGAAACTATTAATTGGCACAAGTATCTCGGGTGGCCACAACCCAAGAGTAATGAAGACTGTCGAGCATGTACAAGAGAGAGCTAAGGTATTTGCCGGTTGCTGGTAGACAACACGAGATTGGGGAACGACGGCACAGGAGAGTGCCCTCCCGCATACACGGTCGATGTCGCTCGGGAAGCGTAAGACGAGACTTCTCCCAATCCCAAGTTGGTCGGCGCAGAGTATGGCAGAAACGCCCAGGCGGCAACACCACATAAACGATGAGGCGGTCTAACTTCGCACTCGACTTCGAATAAAGTGACTGGTTCCTTTGCTTCCGGTAGTATAAATCGACCACGCAGATCCCCGGGTGTCAGCAGTCGCAGCAAAAAAGCCCACCGTGTGCGCATCACAGTTCATGTATAAACAATGCAGCAGATATTCCTATAACTAAAATGGCCTCTGTGCTAATCATGGGGCCGTCACGGCTAAGACAGACGGCGAGTGACAGCCACCCCCACCAGACTTGGGGACATTCTCTCGGCTCAAAACGGTGTTGAGACTATTTAATGCAGTACTTACGAGGGATGCAGGACGACGCTGCCAAACTCCCGGAACGGTAGTAAAGGAGCGAGACCTGGAGTAGTGTCTCGGTGAATAAAACGTACGGCAGAGCACCCGAATGTGGACAGACGCCAAATAGGAAATTGCCGGCTTCAGCTACACAGTACGCAACCTTAGTAGTCAGACAGAAGTACCTCAAACCTATGAAATCACCCGGTATCTCGGTGACACTAGGGCCGAATGGAAGCAGCAGGACAGATGCGTGGGAGACCTGCACCTGCCCTGACAACTAAATCGGGATATGCTCGTGAGTACAGAAACCGAGTACATTAACTAATCCAGATGATTTCACTAGTCGGCCTTAAACTATCAACCCACCGCACACCTTCCACTTGGCAAGCAGACCGGCTCCCAAGGTGGGTGGCGCCGGGGTCCACTAAGATATTTCTGCCGGTGCGGTGCCGATGAGGCCGGGGCCAATCATAATGAGGCACAAGCAAGATACGGGTAAACCCGAAATGGAACCAGCACGACCCTGTCTAGCCCCAGCGACACCACCCGCCTCCTCCCCCGGTACAATCTACCTGATGTACTAAAAAACTGAAACTGAGGGGTTACCGACTAAGGAGGAAGTCTGCTCGTGAAGCCGAGAACCACGTGCCAAAGCCCCATTATAACATGGTTTTGATAGGAACTAAACTGGCTGTCCGCAGCTTTTGAGGCCGTTTCGGCTTTAGGTGTGCACCACAGCAACTGTGGCACGCAAGTAAATGAGAATTAGCAGCTCAAAATTACGCAAACCCCGCCCAAGGAAATTATTCCGTCGAATAAGCATTACTGATTCGCGTCATCGCGCTTCGGAGCACAAGTCCTGACGACGGAGTAAATAAGGCTTCAGAAGACAACAGTTCAATATACATTTATTTGAGAAAAAGCACAAATTTTACAAGGAAATCAGCAAAAATGACATCAAAAGAAACGCCTTTTCATTCTACCGACGGCTTACTAAAGCTGGACCATTAGGTTCGAAGACTGTAGAAAGAAGCTTTAGAATCTGAGTGATAAGCAACCTACGCATAAGTAGACACGGAGTGAACTACGGTCCGACGCCGATAACCAGGGAACTTTGGAGAAGAATGTGCCTTGGGAGGAGGCCAAATGTATTCACTTATCATTGCCCCCAACTCGCGAGTAGGAGATCCTTGGAACTATAACTGCCGCCTCCAGAGTTGTCCTGAGACTTGGAGGCGACGCAACGGTAGGCTCGACAAGTCTCAAGAGGGACTAAGAACTTGGGCTATGAGTGCTAAACTATCAGCCTCGTAAATTAGTGGATGCGCTTTATACCGTCGTCTACCTAGGCTTCTAAACTGAGTTCGCGACGATAATTTCCTGTTGCGTTAAGGTCGCGACCTAGGGTGCAGGAGCCGAAAGAGCCCTACGCGCCCCGGGATGATTTTCAAACAGGAAGGCGAAGCGGCACAGAAAGGCGCACGAGCCAGAAATGACTGCAAAAATGAGCGACTTTAGTCAGCTTAAGGATGCGCGGTTGGAGATGCAATGGCTGCTCGTCAGTTAGAGTAGCGACAGATGATGATACCGGGATCTAACAACGACAAATTGAATTCAGAGCGAGTACGGAAGTGAAGCGCCAGGTGAGCTTGCTCAGAAAGTGTATTGACTTAACGATTGGCATGTAAAATGATGATACCGGGATCTAACAACGACAAATTGAATGCAGGGCGAGTACGGAAGTGAAGCGCCAGGTGAGCTTACTCAGAAAGTGTATTGACTTAACGATTGGCATGTACAAGGGAACCGGGAGGCGAGACGTTGAAAAATGCTTCGGCAAATTCGATGATTCGGAAACGACCCTCGAGCGACCGCGGATAGCTGAAAACACCAACGAAAGAACCATTGCTTTAGAAAAGTTCAATGGAGTTGGAGACGGGCTAACATTCGCTAAACAGAACAGGTATGTGAGGACTGAATATCGCGCTTTTTTCGACGAATAGCTACCTTGATAGCGTTTTTTTGTCGATGACTGAAGAGTACGACAGCGGACGTAACGAGGGCAAAGGCTGATCGAAGGTTTTTTGGGGTTTCGAATGTTTCAAGTTAAGGCTCTGTTGTCACAAGGCGGGGGCCGCTAGAACATATAACGACCTGACCAGAGATGTCCGGATTTTGAAGGCAGTAACCTAGGAGTAGACAGCGACTGCGTCTCTGACACACCTGGCAAGAGCCTTGCGTAGTGAAGGCAATACTTTCGCTGAGACAAGCGTTCGAAAGCTTATTTACACTTCGACTAATGCACCGATATCGGCCGTATCTCTCACGAGGCGAACCCAGTAAACTTACCTCATGGTCTCCCATTGTATCCGGACGCCGACCGCGGTGAGCGGCTTCTTTGGTCGCCATAGTAGCCGTAGTCGTATGATTCGTAATTCCGACCTCTCTCTCTGTCGCGATAGCCACGGCTTCTTAAAACGGTAATTATACGAATGATGAAATTACGAGTAATCATAATTTCCGCCGCCATAGCTGTCGTAGAATTCACCGGGCCGCGCCTGGGCAGCACCACCTGTTTCGTAGTATCTTCCATAGTCGCCAAACGACTCACGGCCTTCGTAACGCCCACGTGGGGGCGATCCTCTACGCTGGTAATCAACCGGTGGGATAGGTTCCATATCCGGACCGCGATAGTTGGAGGAAAACGGTGCATCCCTGAACGGCCCTCGGCCGCGATCGAAGTCCCTATCAGGGTATCGACCTGGTGCACCGTTGGGCGGGTAATCATAATCTACGT